ATTTGTTTGCTTTAAGTTGGTGGTAGCTTTTATTCTACTATATACATATACGAAGTTTGCTTCTTTTGTGTTCTGCCTTTGGGTTTCACGACATTGTTTAGGTTATAAAAATATTTGCTTCTTTAGATTTATGATTTATATTTCTATCATGATAATCAAATATGGTGATAAATATATACATGACTATAAAAATATGAGTATGATTTTATTTTATTTGGATGATTATAAATATATATATTTATTTTTATTTTTATTTTTACTTTTCATTTATCCATATTATTAGGCAAGGACGGACCCAAATTTCTTTTTCAAACGGTGGCACCGTTTGACTATAAAAAATGATATAGGAAAAAAAATTCAAACTGTGGTACCATTTGACTATAAGAAACAAATGTACAAAGTTTTTTGATACGGTGGCACCAATTGACTAAGAAAATGACATTAACAAGATTCGAATTTGGGTCTGGGTGGAATAAAAGTCTTGCAAACCAACTCTACCAAATAAAACGTGTTCTCATTGTAGTTTCAAAATACATACGGTAACACACAACAAATTAATAAGGTTGCAACTTTCACGAACCTAATTTTTTTATCCTTTGACGGAGGAATAATACGGTGGCACGTGCCACCGTATGCTCTACTCTAGGTCCGTCCATGTCATTAGGTCTTTTTAAAAGAATTCTTTTGTTCTACTGGTTGATTTTGTTTTAAAGGATGAAAATTAATGTGATGATTATCTTAATTTTTTTAGAAGAAAAAAAAATCAAAAATCAACACAGGTCTCAATACCTAATTACAAATTACTTTAAATTTTATATTATATTATAATTATAATGTTAAGTTTATCATGTAATCAACATAAATCATTTACTAAATATAATTTTTGTGGCATTTAGATTATTTTATTATTTTTCCCTGTCGATGTTATAATACGATTTTATGTATTTTTAAGAAAACAATAATAATTTTATTTTTGAACAAAATATAAATTTAAAGATATTATAAAAATTTGAAAAAAATAATATCAATGTTAATATCAAATCAACTATTTAAAAGTTCTCATTTTTCATGTAAT